GATCATCAGCAAGATCAAAATTATCTCACACTTTTATAATCAAACTTTTGCAAGAACTTTCACCATAACATATGTTAAGTTGATCATTTTTTTGTGACCTGCAACAGTGTCCACTATGCTGGTGAGAATACTATAATAGAGCTTGGATCCGGATAGTAAAATCCTTAGGATATCCGCAGATATCTGGATAGAGATTTGATGAATGGATAGGATATCCAGATAGGGTTTTGATGAATGGATAGGATATCTGGATGAGAGATTTTGATAAACGGATATCCAGATATCTGTAAGGTGAGAAATGGATTTCTATTACTATATTAATATCCACATTAGTATTAGTATATATAATAATAATATTTGGTTGATCTAATACTAACTAAATTATTTTACTTATTTAATTCTTTGATTTATTTTTGTTCTTAAACAAGAAAGATATATTTTTACTCAGTCAAAATTAAATTATTTTTGTCCCACTAACTAATTAACAAATAAATAGACAATAATGATGACAAAAAATACTAATTAAGAATACGAATATTAATATTAATATTAACAAAAAAAAAAGAAAAACGAAAACGAAAAAGGCTATGTCACATGCCATCATATGATTGGATGGTGTTTCGATAAACCCGTTTTTCTATCACAATAATATTAATATTAATAATACAAATGAATAGGATATCCGGATCCAAGCTCTATACTATAATAAGTGATTCAAATTATCTTGATAATTTCTTTAAACATGTATTTTTTCAGATTAATCACTAGATCTAGCAAATATTGGATGATCTGTTGCTATAAATGGTTTTAGAAACACTATCTCAAGTATTTCAAATTATTCATTGGAATCAAATTGTAAACATGATCAGCTAACAATTGCAGAAAAATCTCAAAGTTTTAATCTAGTTTCTATGGATTGTGAAGATAGTGACATTCAATATATTTTGAATTTATTGAGATACACATAAAAACTGTTCATAAAATTATGAATGTTATTGATAAATATTAAATTTATTTTCTAATAAAAATTTGTGATTAGTATTGAAATGATAGATAAAGGCATACCTAACAGACAGAATTCAGAATGTGATTTAGACTTTTTTTTTCAATGTACATGTATACAAATGTATATCAAGTTATATGGATTCACATTAGTAAGTAACTTCTTTATCTGAAAATCATGACCATTAATAATAAATCATATACTATTTTTTATCAGTGGTGAAGCTCAATCAAGAACATCAAAATTTAGAAAAGAATTATCATCATCTATACATTTCACACCCTCTACTTCTAAAAAATATAAAATTCATGGTGCTAGTTGTGACTGGTTATTTAGTGCAAGTAAAAGTAGTTCTCAAAATATTTAAAACTAATTGACTAATTTGTTGATTTTAATGAAATTTAGTTTCATGCACTTAATTTTTCAGCTTTAATAGAATATTGTACTCAAAACAAAGCATACACTTCTAAAAATATGTTTCGAATCAAAGCAAATATCCAATTAACCAACCAAAATTCAAATACAAATACAAATCCATCTACAATAAGTAGTTTAGTGTCACAAGCAGTTAGCAATCTTAATAGTAATAACAATCAACCAAAATTATGTTTAATAAGATGGGGAATGAGAAAGAGATTAGACAATATAAATCAAATAACTCAAGATACTGGATTGAACCAACTAAATTTAAATAATTCTGGTAAGAATATTTAATCTCATAAAATTTTCTCAAAAACATGTTACTAATTTTAAATTTAATGCAGAATAACCTTCTATACCAGCTATCACCATTGCAAATATCTCATCAATAATACCACTACTATTTCCGATCAATTATCTCCATACTTGTTCTCTATGTCGGACACTGGAAATCATCTTGTGAGTGCAACACCTGATCTTTTTGTGGTTATGGCTTTAGATAAAGCCAGGAAAGAGTATGAAGTTATTGGAGAATTTAAAGGACACTTTGAACGAGGGTAATTTTATTCTCTATGTATGTTTATTTGGAAAAAGGGTTATGATGCTTATAACAAAATTATATTTTATAATTAGTGAAAAAATAACTGCAATATTATGTTTACCATTTTTCATGCCATCAGCTTTCAAAAGGTCAATCAATCATTTCAAGCATTCTTTTTTTTAAAAAAAAAAAAGGAAAAATAATTTTTGATATTGAAAAGTTTGCTTTATTTTGTTTTCCTAATAGTCAAATCTTTGTTATAATTGGTTATAACACTGGATACTTGAGAATTTTTACTCAGGTAACAAGCTCCTAATAATAATAAAATTATTTATATATCACTCTAATTTCTTTATTATTGTAATCAGTCAGGGAGTTTACAAATATCACAGCAACTAGACACTTCTCCAATAATTTCAATAAAACTACGTACTGCAACATTCCCTACATTCTCATTACCAATATCCATGCATTCACATTATCATGATTACAATCAAAAACTTTCATCATTTTCAGAATCATTAGATGAAGAGATCACTATATTACATGAAGGTGGTAAAGTTGTTAGTATTGATGGGAAAAGTTTATGGACAGTTCTAAGAGTTTGCAACAGCCATTACTATAATGATTGTCATCATAATCAACAACGACAACACCAGAAATTCAATTCAACACCAGAGTTTTTTGGTGGAAATGGAGGTATTGATGGTGATGATGGGTCTACTACAGCGTTTGCATATAAGAAGTGGTATTTTGAGGGCAGAGGAAAAGTTTTTGATGTGGTAAGCTGTGGACCATCAAAACACTGGACAACACATGTACTTGACAGATCATTGGTTTCATCTTCGTCAAGTACTGCTTTGTTTTCATTTCAAGCAAAGGAAAGATATATTGCTGTTGGATCAAATCCAATGTTATCATATTATGCAACATCTGATTCTAGTAAACCTTTTTTGTCGGCAGTGTCTATTGCAAGCATGGTTGCCAATAAAGTTTCAAATGCTGTTTATTCATTAGCCAAGACTTTATTAACTGCAGCTAGTGGTGTTGATGTTAGTAGTGATAATAGTACTGTTGATGATCATGGTAGTGGTAATATTGCAGCAGCTAAACCTATACCTATGATTTTGGCATTAAATGACTCAAATAGAAAAATTTTATCAATAGTTATGTCACCTGCTGCGGCTGATGGAAAATATCAATTAGCAGCTTTGACTGATTCGTTAGGGAGGGTATGTAAACATTCATTTATAAATATATGCATGTACATTATAATACATGTATATATAAAAAAAATTTAATTTTTTATAGGTGACTTTAATTGATGTAGAAGAAGGCGAAATTGTATTAATGTTTAAAGGAATAAGAAATGCACAATGCGGGTGGGTAGAGGCAATTGAAGAAGATTGTGATGATGATGATGATGATGATGATGATGATTGTGGTGATTGTGGCAATGATGATTATTATAACAATAACAATGTCAATAATTATAAAAATGAAAAATTAAAAAACAAAAAAAATAAATCATTTGCAGCCACATTATCATCATCAAAAGTATCAGTCACCTCAACCAACAGTAGGAAAAAGTCTAGTACCAAAAGAATTACATTATTTTTAGTTATTTATTCACCATTTCGAGGAATAGTTGAAATATATCATATGAGACATGGTAGACGTGTAGGTAACTTTACAATTGGACAAGGATGGAATCTCTTAACCACAGTTTCATCACCACTTGGATATGGTTTGAGTGGTAGATCCCATGAGAAAAAGAACTATAATAATGGTGGCAATGATAACGATGATGATTATGGTGATTATAATGGTGCAAGTAATAAGAGATTGGCCAAATCTTTTTTGATTGGACCACAAGGCGAAGTTAGATTGATAGATGTTCCATTTGGATGTGCTATAAAGTAAAGAAAATTATTATTTTGGATTTAATTATGTTTTTTAAAGGAAAAATAGAAATTAAACTTTTTGATATATATTTATTTTTGTGTAGGAAACAAGTTAACCATTTACATGTATTTAAAAATCTCATTCGTAAATATGGAACTTCAACCTTTAAGGAAGAGATCACTTCAGAGTTGATGAAAATACTTGAACAAATACAAGATTCAAATAAAAAATTAGAAGTTAGTAATAATTATTATAATTATTATTTTATAACTATTAGCATTAAAAATAAAAACAAACATTACCTTTTTATAATAGGCATTGATGTCAATTCCAGATAGTTTACCACCTACGTTTCATTTGATTGCAACACAATCATCAATAAATTGTTTAGGAATGTTGGACTCATTTGATTTTTTAGAGTACGCACATGACTTGTTAGATAATATGAAAAATGGTAAAAAGCAGGATTTCACAAAAATTATAAGATTAAAAATTGTGTTAAGGGAACATTTATTACATATTTATGAAACATTAGAAGGGTTAAATGTGTCAACTAATGGTAACAGTAAGGGTGGTAGTAATAGTAGTAATAGCAGTGGTGGTGGTGGTAATGATAGTAATAGTAGCAGCAGTGATGATGATATGATTATTGAAGAAGTAGGAAAAAATGATTATAACAGTGATAATAATGATAATGAATTTAAAATTAAAATTAAAAATTTATTTAATAGTAATGAAATTAATGATAGTAATAATAATAATAATATTATTAAAAGCATTGGGCCAAATAGTTTTATGTCATTATTTATATTAAATAATTTAGAGAAAATCAATGATGATGATGAATTTTTATTGCTTGATGATAAAATTGATGATAACAAGAAATTACAATTAGGTAAATTATTGTTTATAAATATATTTAATTATAATTATTTAATTATTCATTAATTAATATTTTTTTTCTATGTAAATAAAAGTCAATTTTCTATTTAGACCATTAATATTATCAATAACACCAGAAGAATGGATTGAGGCTATTAGAAAGCGAATTCCAACACCAAATAGAATTTGGTTAAATTTATTTTTATTTTGGTTTAAAAATATAAATGTAAATGTATTGATTAAAAACTTCAACAATAATAGTAGTGATGGTAGTAACAACAATAACAAAAACAATAACAGTAATTATAATTATAATTTTATAACAACAATATTAAATGATTTTATTAATATAAATATTAAAGATGAAAAATTTGTCAAAGATGAAATATTAAATTTTTGTATGAATGATCAAAAGGTATGAATTTTTTGAATTATGAATGATGATGTCATTCCTTAATAAATATAATCTTTTATTTATTTTAGGTTGGACATTCACTATTATTAGCATTTTGTTGTAAATATGAATCACCGTTTATTGAATCATTTGAGGTAATAACAACACTATTGCTATTATTATTATAAGATGATTTATTAATTTCTATTATTATATATATTATTTTATATACTTAAAAGATTGATTGGAATAATTTGATTCAAAAATTAGAAATCTGCTGGAAATTAACTAAAAATATTAAAAATATTAACAAAGATATTGATGATGATTTAGAAATTGGATTAACTGCTGAAAATTTAAATAAGGTTTGTAATAATTTAATAATTTTGATATATTCATATTGGTATCAGTAACTATTAACAATATGTAATACCAAGGTGATTAATTTATAGTGTGAAAAAACCAGTATTACAAGAATTGTTGCAATTAATAATTTATATGTGAATAATATGGTATGTTATTATTTTTTATTATTTGATTAAGTTTTATTATTTAAATAAATAAAAGATTTTATTATTATTTTTTAGTCAATAGATTTATCATCAAGCTATAATGAATATGAAAATTCTGATTTATCTATAATTTATAAAAGTTGGATATTATGTAAATTATATGAGAAAAATATCACCAGAACAGGTAATTTAAATGACAATTAATTACTTATTCAGAAAACTTGGGAAACTATTTTTCAAATAATACAATTTTTGCTTCCTTCTCAATTATTAGATTTATTGGAAAAATCAATTGATCAAATTATATTTAATATCAAAGATGATTTATTAAAAAATGGTTTATTATACTCAATTTGGTATAAAATATTTTTGCAAAAATCAACTTCTATTATGAGTTTAATTGAAAAAACTCATAAAACACCAAAAGACGAATTGGCAATAAAGCATTGCGGAATGAATGGTGGGTATCATCTGTTGCTTGTGTAATTATAGCATTAAAAATTGAAATTATAATAGTAGTAATCAATCAGTTAATTAAATTTGAACTTGGGTAAAATGTTTATATTTTTTTAGGGGAGACAATTAAAAAGTTTCTATCAGTTAGCAAGAAACTCTTGGAATCATTTATTTTAGATGATGATAAAATAAAAGTTAAAAATATTTTAAAATCTGTTAGACAACTATTAATCATTCAAAATAATGATGATGACCTGTATAATAAGAATGAATCTTATTATAATGATATTATTGGGGTTATGTTGAATATTTTCAATGACATTGATGATAATGATGATTATGATGAAAAAATAATTGATAGGTTAGTAATATAATATAATTTCATAAAATAGATTTTAACGGAGCTATTTTTTTATTAAATTTGATTCAATTTTTTTCCAAAAATAGTAACCTTATAAAAATTCATATTATGTTGATTAAAGTGTTATCACTCATCTTTATGATTGAAATTAATTTGATCAAACCTTCAAAATTATTTAATAAAAATACAAATACTTCATTTTTCAATAATTTAACTATTTCTAATCCATCTATCATTAATAATAATAATGGTAATTTAATGGATGAAGATATTAATCATAAGAGGTAAATACATTTCACTGTATTCATTTGCCAATTCAATTAATCAAGTTAATTTAAAAATAATAATACTATTATTATTAGAGAGAAATTTATCATGAAATTAATAAAAAATTTAAAATCATCATCATCTGTCAAGAAAGGTGATGTTATTCAAGAAATTTTGGAATTGGCACGAAATTTTTCATTAGATGAACAAGTTATTATTAATCTATTCTAATAATTTTTTGTTTTTAACTAAAAAAAAATCAATTAAAGACATCTAAAATTATTATCAACTAAAAACATTGTAATAGTAACTAATAAATCTTCTATTTATTTAGAATTATTTACAAAATAAAATTGTACATTAATTGAGCAGATGTTATGATGATCATTTTATAGGTATCATTGAAAATTTCCAACTCCATCTAATCTGTCAATGAATAAAACAAATCAACTAACAAAAAAATGCAGTTTTTTTTTCCTAATCCCATCCTGGGTGCTTTTATCATTATTACATATGTAAACTTGATAAGTTGGTCATGTCATGACTGACTGACTTATCAAGAGAACCAAGTTATCAAATTTCATGTGATTTTTTTAATTTTTTAAAATATTTATCTTTTATTCAAACATTAGAAGGTTGCGAAATCAACATTTTTATACATGTTTCTGAACATAATAAAATTTAATAGGACTACAAATGATATAATCAATAATATAAGCAATAATATAAAAATGGGATAAAAAATATAGATGAATTAGACTAAATTATTGAATGATACAATCAATGATGAGATAATAAAATATTAATGCGTTATTCATGATAAATGAATGATACAATTGATGATACAACTGCTGAGATAAATGATTAAAACAAAAAAAGTTCTCTTTTTAAAATTACTTGACAAGAAAAAATGGATGTGTGATTATGCATTATAAACTTATGGAGGTAATAAAGGTAATAAAATATAAATGTAGTTCACAAGTGAAAATGCTTTCTTCCTTCTAAATTATAAAAAATGAACAATAAAGATAGTTTTTTTATACCAGATATTTTATTATGAATAATCATTTTGCTAATTACAAATAAAAACATAATGAAATATCACGCGAGACCATCTTATTGTGATTCATTTAATTATACTTGGACTAAGTGATTGACCAACTTTAGTGCTTATTGTGACTTTATGTAGATTGACCGACTTATCAAATTTTTTTATCAAGTTTACATATGTATGCCAAAATTAAAATGGCTATGCTAAATTTGGCTGGGCCAACCCAATTCCATGTTATCTTTTTAATTAATCATGATAAATTTAAAAAATAAAAAACATACTTAAAAAAAACTTTGCTTTAGGCAAAAAAGTAATAGTGCATTTAGTGATGAAAATCTAGAGAGTTTAGAACAATTTTTGCATGAAGAATCTAAGGGAAGATTGTGCTTGAAGATGGAATATTTTCAATGAATCCATGAAACATTCACTTTGTAATCAAAACCTTGTCAGAAACAAATTGAGGTATAAAAAAAAAGGACAATTGATAACTGCATTTTTGAAAGAAGTGAAAGTAATGTTAATAGTAAAAATAAAAGTTCAGAAGAATTAATTGAAGGCAATGATAAAGATATGACTGGATTTGCAATTAGGGACTTAGAGCAACAGCTTAAAAGTAATAATTTTAAATTACAGCCTACAGTTGCACCTCAATATTTAAATTAATTAGATAAAAAAGTTGGAATTAAGTATAAATTGATGACTTTTTTTTTTAACATTAATTAACATTAAATTAAGAATATATGAAAAGTCTGTGTTCAGTTTTTATAATGAAAAGTCATGTCTGTGTTCAGTTTATTACAAAAAACCTTGTCAATCTTGACCTAAGAAATACAAATAAGGAAATTGTTTGCATAAAAAACTACAGTGAACCCTTGTTTCAACAAAGTATAATTAAATTTTTGATACAACGAATTTTTAAAAACGTTGTTACACATTATGAAAACATATAAAAATTCGTTGAAACGCAATTAGTAACCTTGTTTCAACAAATGTTGAATAAAATTTTCTTATATGTCCAGCCATTTTGTTGAAACAAGGGCAGACTGTACCTTTCTTATATACAGTCAAAAAAAAAAACTGTCACAGCAGACCTTGCCACAGTGGATTTCTTGTTACAACAGATTTAAATATTGGCCCCTTTTTTTATTAATTAAAAATGTTTGTCATAATGAATTTTATTAATAAATTTGTTCCACAACACTAATGGATTTTTGATGGGGGCCTTTCTATATGGCTACTAGTCTCATCACAGTGTATTCACATGACATATAAATTATGAAATTTATCCAAATTACCCAAAATTGATAAAAATAATAATCAAATATAATTTATTTTTAGAAGCCACATCAATAAATTCAACATCAACATATAGTTATTTTAAAAAATCATTTCAAATCACTATAATTAATCAACTTCAAACAATGAATTTATCAAAAGATACCAAGTAAATTGCCTGGTTGGTATTCTAGAAGATTTAAAGATCCCAATTATACTGTTTGTCACATATAACTCATTGATTGGATTGTAAAAGGCACAAGAAAGTTTGTCTTAAAAAGTTGGATTGAAATGAATATCATTTCAATATAAATAATTATTAAAAATTTTTTTTTTAATATAATTTTTTTTTATACACATCCTGGACAAAAGTATCGGGACACCTGCAGATCATCACAAATAATTGAATAAAGTGATATGACAAGAACTACACCTGCTTATTAAGTAAAAATTAATCTTCATATCAAATATTATAATATACTGAAGTTTCACCACATATAAATAAACCATTGTTGTTTTACAAACCTTAAAGATAAACAATAAAATTCTGGAATTTTTTTAAAAATCTTTAACTCAAAAATTGACCACATTAGCAAGTTATAACATCTTTTATGGTATAATTAAAAAATGCTTGCCATGTTTGAAACTGGCTATTTGCAGAATTTCTCAATTTATTGACAAAAATACTAAATGGATTGATTTTTTCCAATTTTGAAGATCAATATTAAAAAAAAAATTTTAAATTGTAATCGCGAAGCAAATTTTTATCCAAATTAAACTATATTTTTTTCAAAGACTCAAAATGCCCAGAGGTACTGAATTATCTGAATTTGAACATGGAGAAATTATTGGCTTAAAAAAGGCGAATTTTTCTTATAGGGAAATAGCCATCAGGAAAATAGGTACAAATATTATGCGTATATAATACACAATTGCAGGGATTAAGCATATAATATGCATACAAATCGTGTATTTTTT